CTAAAGAAAACTTTATTTCTTTTAGCTTGGGAAAGAAACTAAAAAAGAAAATTTGTTTTTTTTTAGCTCGGGAAAGAAACTAAAAAGAAACTTTGTTTCTTTTAGTTCGGGGAAAGTGACAGCTGATTTCTGAGTTATAGTGAAGAAAAAAAAAAACCCAGCAACTGCATTTAAAAACTGATACTGACATATTGTGACAGCCAGTCACTGTATACACTGCTCCTCTCCTGCCTTCTTTCGACGCTCCAACATCTGCAGTACACACAGTCCCCTGTATCGGCTAAATTTTTCCTGTGGGCAAAATGCCGATAGAGCTATTTTCGGCAAATATGCTTCGGTGGCCGAAATTTCATTGTGTCCCTAGTTCCTTAAGGATCTACTTGTAGTTACCGTCTGATTTTTCTTTATTACATATCTGTGTTATAACTCCTTTGGAACCAAACGGTTTACACTAATTGATAATTGCATTAACAGTTTTTTGCCTTTGTCTGTTGACTTGCAACTGCTAGTAAATATTGCCTCCATTTTGGTGTCGTTGCAAATGTGAACCATGTCTGAACCCAGAGTGTCAGAGGTGGCAGAAGGATTACAAGGTCAGGGCAGCCTGTGGGGACTATCATCTACTAGCGGCCCTTACGGGGGTGGCGCTACACTGGCTCTTTCTGTCCTGCAGAAATCACCCCTTTAACCCACCCACCCTCCTGCAAAGTAGACTTCTTGGTGGCTATCACATCTTCCAGACATGTCTCTAAAGTAGTGCCTCTCTTGTTAAGAGCATTTGTTCTTTACAAGGACAAAGAGTAATTTTGACTTGCCTATAAATTTGATATCTTGGAGTACACAGCACACATGCTTGATATTCATAGACCCTGGGTTATAGGTTGGTACCTTCACGTGACTAGACACTGGCAAAGCTTTAAAGGACATACCCCCTGGTCATCCATGTATAATCGTACCCTACTCCACAGTTATGTGGCAACGAGTGCAGAGTAACACAAGATTAGGATGAGGGGAACCTGTGTCATGTACTGTACTCTAATACATGAATACATGGAATTCACAGGGAAGTCAAAATTCCTCTTATCTTAATCGTACAGTGCAGGAAACTGGCTTGATATTCATAGACCTTGGGACATCCCAAGCAATGAATGAAAAGAGCAGGCAACAATTTGGCAAACAGAGTTGTGCCAAGAGGCCCAACAATAGCGAGGGTCAACAAACCCAGCTTCAGAGTGCTACAGTGAGAACATTGAGGCTGAAAGCTGCAGACTAGATGTTCATCTGGGGACCTTACAAAGCTTGGCAACAGAGGCTTGATATCATAAGGATCAGGCTGCTTCTCGATCCACTGTTTCCAAGGGGGGTTCATCAGTTCATTTCTCAGGTCTATGGTATCAAGGGCAGGGTTCCTCCTTTCCTGGTTAAGGCCCAGTCCACAAGGAGTGTTAGTGCTTCCTGGGCTATTCAGCATCAAGTTTCTGTTGTTCATGTGTGTAAGGCTGCCACCTGGTCTCTGTTTACACATATAGTAAGTTTTACCAGGTAATTTTCATGCCTGTATGATTAGGAGATTAGGATTTTTGCTTTACCTGTAAAATCCTTTTCTTGAAGTAAACCGCAGAACACAGAGATCCCTCCCCTCTTGTCTGTGTTGCTGATTGCTTACTGCAGAACTAAGGTTTAGCTGACCTGGGAGGAGTTTTGCTTGGCCAGAGATTCCTGCCTTGGTTTTAGCCAGTATCCCTTTACCTGAAGGTGAAGGCATAATCCAAGTAGTCTTTTATATGAATTCATCTGTGTCATGTGATGTAATTTTACAGGTAACCTAAAAATCTGAATTTTAAACCCAGAATAACCAGACCTGCTTCAGCTAGTCTTGTCAGCTAATCATTCAACCCAACAACACCAGCTGCTTCACTTAATCAAAAAGAAATATATATATTTTTTGGATCAAAGATCAATGGTAATAAAAGAAGGGTCCGTTCTTAGAAAAAAGTAATGTTTCCAGCAGAGGGCAGTCACATCCACTAATGATTTAGAAAGTGCTGTAATCCAACATACTGTACAGATCCAAGGACTAGAGAAAATGGAAGGATGTGGCACAGAACCATTTCCCAAACCTAATTTTTCTTTGGATAGTTTGCAGATCAGTAACTTTAGCGTTTAATATCAGTTTAATTGTAGGAACCCAACCAATCTGTCAGAAACCATATATGCCTTTGTATCTTCTACAAAAAAAGGTACTGTGCATACAATTACCATATGCACAAAAATGACAGAAATCCACTCTGGAGAGACTACGGAAGCTTCTGTTGCTGACCTCTCCTTCTGAAGATGAAAGTTGCTTGCCTGTCATGCTGATCTAGTTTTTGGAACTTTTTGTTGCACTAAGCTGGATCTAGTGTTCAGATCATACATTCTGACATAAAGAGGAACTCCAAGAACTGCAAGAAATACACACCTTGTTGTTAAATCCAACAAGGTGTGTGCCACCTTGTGGAATTATCTCTTTAGTTTACATTTTTACCGTGCGTGGGGAGTATAGCTATTGCTATACTTCCAACACTGAACCTTCAGGTCTCTGATTCTTTAGCTGCAGATTCCCTTGCAGCCACTGAATGTTATCCTCCTCTCCCCTTGCCCAATCTTGGAAGGCTTTGTATTAAGTGAAACCATTCACAAAATGCAAAGGATTTCTTGTTTGGACAGAGGAGGGAAGGGGCAAGCAGAGTGCATCTTTCATGGTAGTACTGCTATACTGCTAGTGCTATACTGCTTGGGCATTCCTTGGTTCTCTGTTCATAATCCCTCCATCAACTGGGAGACAAAGAGTATAAATTTTACGTCTGTCCATTGCAAGGAACATTATAAAGAATCTTAACAAGCAATTCCTCCACCGAGCAAGGGTTCACAAGCAATTGTGTTGAGTACTCAATCTTACAACAAGTCGCCTCCACAGTATCATGAGTTCTAAGACATTTGTGATAAAAATAATGATGGTCACTTGCCTCCTCATTGCCTGTTTGACTTTCCCATTGAATTGCTTCCAGGGGCAGAAATACCTTTGCTCGTATTTTTGTTCTCTATTAGAACCTGAATTAAAGGTGCTCAGTCAGTGGCTTTATGAAAATTTAAAGAAGGGCTTTATAAGACACTCAGTCCCTCCTGTTGGGACAGCCTTATTCTTTGTTAAGAATGACTACACCCTCCATCTATGAGTTAGCTACAGGGATTTGAACAAGATCACTTTTAAAGCATAACCCATGTAGCGATAATTTAACCCCTCTGTGTCCTCTGGATGTATTCCAAGAAAAGGATTTTATGGTAACGCAAAAATCCCAATTTTGTCGAGCATGGTGATGTCTACAAGGCTACCCACAGAATGAATTTGTTGAACCTTCTGAAACTTGAACTTTGTATGGCTAGCTTTGGCGTTGCACAAGCATTTTAGTAAATGTTATGGGTTGGGTGAAGATGAATCCTAGGGCATCAAGGGTGAGAGAAAATACTAAGAGGTTTGGAGGTGAGTCCAGGGTTATTAAATAGGGTAAGGGATAGTAAAAAGAGGATAAAAGATGGGTCTAGGTAAGGGATATAGTTTTTCACTATTTCTAATGTCGCTCTCAGCCTGTGACATGCTATAACATACTACACTGCTATTTTCACCATTGGCTCCTCTTCTCCAGGTTAAATTAGTTTACAGTACTCCTCTTTGGAATGAGGGGAATAAGAAATGCCTCTCACTGCTGCGTAAACCAGAGTAGGGACTGGGTGGGCCACAAAGTTCAGGGCTTCCTGATCACATGGCTTTCACAGTCTATTCTTGCTGGTTTTGTAGCCTATTTTTGTCTCCTTGATTTCTAATCTGGGTATTTAAAAGCTCATTACAATTCTTTAATAGTATTTCTTCTCTTTTGTCAGATTATGTCAGGCTTTGTTGTTGGAAGTTTTGGATGGATAAGGTGTTGATGAGTTGTTGTAGGGCACAAGGTTTGCCTTGGGACTTGTTAGTCTCTCTCTAACTGATATACCCAGACAGAAGTATATGAACTAGAGACACGAAGGGGTGTATGCCCCTCCTCTGATCATTCAGCTGGGTGGTTATTCTGAATAGAGCTAACAGCAGGTTTAAAATTACTCTCTACAGCAATTAAAGCGAAACTTCACACAAAAAGGGAAATTCAGCTTGTTTGCATCCTCCCCCCCCCTCCCAGCCCCACTGCCACGTTTGGCACTTTTTTTTGGGGGGGGGGGGAGCGGGTACCTGGTTTTGATATGTACCCACTTCTGGGTCACATCGCCGCACCGATCTTTTAGGAAGTTCAGCCCCTCCTTCTCTCCGCAACCTTCTGGGACACACACAGGTCCGAGAAGACTGCAGGACCATTCAAAAAGTGCAGCGTGGCTCGCGCATGCGCAGTAGGAAACTGGCTGTGAAACCGGAAGGCTTCACTACCGGTTTCCCTTACCTAAGATGCCGGTGCCTGTGCATGTGGACATTGCTGGACCCCTAGACAGGTAAGTGTCCTTATATTAAAATTCAGCAGCTACAGTATTTGTGGATGCTGACTTTTAATTTTTTGAGGGAAGACTGGAGCTCCTCTTTAAATGATTACAAAAAAAAACATTGAGACCAGAGCTCCTCTTGCTGGCTGTACTTAGTAAATGTGAGAAATTAATAGAGAACTATTTATTTTAAAAAATGTTGTGTGTTTTTGTTAATAATTCTCCCAGCCTTCATGAATATTCACAGTAATTGTCTAATATGTGCATTTACTAGGCTCGTTAGCGCCACCTCGTGGCAATAATGTGGTATTTTTATGATTGAGGTATACCAGGAAAATACTGCCCTTACATAACAGAACCAATTTAGAGGACTGGGGAGTGGGACAATATTTTCATCATGCGTACATTTCTCAGCTCTGTGACAGATTAACTTCGGAGAGAAAAAACTGTTTAGAACTTTACCAGCATTATAGTGTGTACATTCTGTCTTTCAGGTATTTCTTGATGAGCTTCATGAGACCGGTCAGTTACACTCCATGTCTACGTGGATGGAGCTTTACCCTTTTGTCAGCACCGACTCCCGGTTTGCTAACATGTTGGGACAGACAGGTGATTCTGCTGAATTATTTTCTACATACAATTGTCTCCTTTAATTTCATTCTATTAAGTAGCAGAGCTGCAATAGTGTATAATGGTGTAACCTTGCTGCTTATGCTGAATAACATGGATTTGTGAATCACAAGTTTGACTGAGCAGAATTAAACATTTGGTCAGATAAAAGAGATTCAATTTAACATCAGTGCTCTGGTTTTACATTTTTATGCCTTTGTCATAATTATGCTGACCTTCTCATTCTCTCCATATGTCAGGCTCCACTCCGCTTGATTTGTTCAAGTTTTATGTAGAAGATCTGAAGGCTCGATTCCACGATGAGAAAAAGATCATTAAAGACATATTGAAGGTAAGCAAAACTCTTGTTCAGACTTTTTCTTTTTCATTTCTAAAGTGTTTTAGCAATGTTTCCCCATATGTAAGGGTGATTCCACTTGTGTCAACCAGTTCACTTATGTTTCAGTGAATAAAGATGGTTCATTGATTTTTCAAGTGTGGTACTGTACTGTCCCTTCATGTGAACTCAATACTATAAAATAAAATTATTACTATTTCTCTGATTATACAAGAACTGTTTCCCATTAGTAGCCATGCTGAATGCACGGTCACTGGTGTGCACTGGAAGGATACAGTGTCAATGCACCGATCACAGTGCAGCTCACTGTTTGCTGGTTTCTTTTTTTGTTAAAATGTTATTTAAATGTCATACATTTGTGCTCAAAAGTGTGAACACCCTGGCAGAAATCGTGACATTTGGCAGTGATATTGAAAATATGACTGATCATGCCAAACTATTGTCTTTTATTTAAGGACAGTGACCATATGAAGCTATTTACTATCACATAGTTGTTTTGCTCCTTTTTAAATCATAATGATCAGAGATCACCCAAATGGCCATGATCAAAAGGTTACATACCCTGGAATGGTACAGACACATAAGTTAACACACAAGTTAAAAATGACAATTATATTTTGATTTCCCACATTATGTGGCTTTGTGAATTGCAATTAGTATTTGTGTATAAATAATTAATGAGCTTGTAGCTCTCATGTGGTTGCACTGAGCAGATTAGATACTGAGCCACGGAGAGCAGAAAAAAACTGTCAAAAGACCTGTGTAACAAAGGAATTTTGTAAAGATGGGACAGGATATAAAAAAAGATATCCAAAGCCTTAAATATGTCAGTCAGTATTGTTCAGTCACTTATAAAGGAGTGGAAAATTAGGGGGTCTCTTGATACCTAGCCAGGGTCAGGTAGACCATGAAAGATTGCAGCCACAACTGCCAGAAGAATTGTTGGAAATACAAAGAAAAACCCACAGGTAACCTCAGGAGAAATACAGGCTGCTGTGGAAAAAGAGGCTGTGGTTGTTTCAAGGAGCACAATACGATGATACTTAAACAAAATTAGCTGCATGGTCGAGTTGCCAGAAAGAAGCCTTTACTTTACTTCGCCAATGCCAAAAAGAAAGCCCAATTACAATATTCCTGACAGTATCTTTACACACCTCACAGCTTTTGGCACATTGTAATCTGGAGTGACTAAACCAGTGGTTACAGACATAAACGCTATGTTTGCAGAGGGGTCAACAAGGTCTATAGTGACAAGAATACGATCCCCACTGTGAAGGATAGTAGTGGCTTACCAATGTTCTGGGGGTGTGTGAGCTCTAAAGGCACAGGGGATCTTGTGAAAATTGATGGCAAGATGAATGCAGCATATTATTAGAAAGTACTGGCAGACAATTTTCATTTTTCTGCGTGAAAGCTGTGCATGGGACTCTCTTGGACTTTCCAGCATGACAATGATCCTAAGCACAAGGCCAAGTTGACCCTCCAGTGGTTACATGTCAGGGAGTGAGGAGCCAGACACACAAGGAGGTGCAATTAAAGGTAGGTTTATTATACAAAAACAAGACAGAGTCTATGCAAGTCCAACAGCAACAGCTGATGACTTGGTAGAACAGTAGCCAGGAAAGATGGTCGCCAGAGTCGGGGTCAGAAGCCAGGAAGGATGATCGCCAGAGCGGGGTCAGAAGCCAGGAAGGATGGTCGCCAGAGCCGGGGTCAGAAGCCAGGAAGGAGTCTTGCCAAAGCCGAGTCGGTATCCAGGAGAGCAATGAAAAACTAAACAGGAGCTTGCTGCTGTGCAATAGACAGGACACAAATGCAATGGACAGCTACAAACAGCAGACTTATATGTGATAAGCCGCCACCTCCCGGAGGAGGAGCCGCAGGGGGCTGAAAGCATAAAGGATCCCACAATGCTTTGCAGACACCTAAGATGGATGCCAGCACATGGAGCCGCACAAGCCCTGAGGAAAGGTAGGACCTTGACATTACAGCAGAAAAGGGTGAATGTTCTTGGGTGTCCATCACAGTCTCCTGACCTTAATATCATTAAGACACTCTGGGGTGATCTCAAACATGGGGCTCATGCAAGCCGATCAAAGACTTTGCATGAGCTAAAGGCATTTTCCCAAGATGAATGGGCAGCTATACCACCTGAAAGAATTTGGAGTTTCATAGACAACTATTACAAAAGACTGCATGCTGTTATTGATGCTAAAGGGGGCAATACAGTATTAAGAACTAAGGGTATGCAGACTTTTGAACAGAGGTAATTTCATTTGTTTACTTGTTTTCTTTTTTTTGTTTTATGATTGTGCCATTCTGTTATGACCTACAGTTGAATATGAATTCCATAAGACATAAAACAAATGTGTTTTGCCTGCTCACTCATGGTTTCTTTAAAAATAGTACATACTTTTGAGCACAACTGTAAGTGACATTTCATTAAGTCATTGCCAAACCACAAAGGTGGGAACTTGTCCTGTGGGAAACAAGGCTTTTTGCCTTGTCTCGTGTTAGGACTCCTCTGGGGAAGGGTGCCCCAATGCAGTCCCAGTGTACCTGGTGTGAATGAGCCCTCAAATTGTATTTAAAGCCAAAACGTTTTTCTTTCTTGGTCATTAACCGCTTCCTGACCGCCCAGAACTACTGTTACAGGGCGACAGGGCTGTTCAAAATCATGTATATACTGTATATAGTGGGGCAAAAAAGTATTTAGTCAGCCACCAATTGTGCAAGTTCTCCCACTTAAAAAGATGAGAGAGGCCTGTAATTGGCATCATAGGTAGACCTCAACTATGAGAGACAAAATGAGAAAAAAAATCCAGACAATCACATTGGCTGATTTGGAAAGAATGTATTTGCAAATTATGGTGGAAAATATTTGGTCAATATCAAAAGTTCATCTCAATACTTTGTTATATATCCTTTGTTGGCAATGACAGAGGTCAAACGTTTCCTGTAAGTCTTCACAAGGTTGGCACACACTGTTGCTGGTATGTTGGCCCATTCCTCCATGCAGATCTCCTCTAGAGCAGTGATGTTTTGGGGCTGTCGCTGGGCAACACAGACTTTCAACTCCCTCCAAAGGTTTTCTATGGGGTTGAGATCTGGAGACTGGCTAGGCCACTCCAGGTCCTTGAAATACTTCTTACAAAGCCACTCCTTCGTTGCCCGGGCGGTATTTTGGGATCATTGTCATGTTGTAGGACCCAGCCACGTTGCATCTTCAATGCCCTTGCTGATCGAAGGAGGTTTGCACTCAAAATCTCACGATACATGGCCCCATTCATTCTGTCCTGTACATGGATCAGTCGTCCTGGTCCCTTTGCGGAGAAACAGCCCCAAAGCATGATGTTGTCACCCCCATGCTTCACAGTAGGTATGGTGTTCTTTGGATGCAACTCAGCATTCTCTCTCCTCCAAACACGACAAATTGTGTTTCTACCAAACAGTTCTATTTTGGCTTCATCTGACCATATGACATTCTCCCAGTCCTCTTCTGGATCATCCAAATGCTCTCTAGCAAACTTCAGACGGACCCGGACATGTACTGGCTTAAGCAGGGGGACACGTCTGGCACTGCAGGATCTGAGTCCCTGGCGGCGTAGTGTGTTATTGATGGTAGCCTTTGTTTTGTTGGTCCCAGCTCTCTGCAGGTAATTCACTAGGTCCCCCCCGTGTGGTCTTGGGATTTTTGCTCACCGTTCTTGTGATCATTTTGACCCCACGGGGTGAGATCTTGCGTGGAGCCCCAGATCGAGGGAGATTATCAGTGGTCTTGTATATCTTCCATTTTCTAATTATTGCTCCCACAGTTGATTTGTTCACACCAAGCTGCTTGCCTATTGCAGATTCAGTCTTCCCAGCCTGGTGCAGGTCTACAATTTTGTTTCTGGTGTCCTTCGACAGCTCTGTGGTCTTCACCATAGTGGAGTTTGGAGTGTGACTGTTTGAGGTTGTGGACAGGTGTCTTTTATACTGATAACAAGTTCAAACAGGTGCCATTGATACAGGTAATGAGTGCAGGACAGAGGAGCCTCTTAAAGAAGAAGGTACAGGTCTGTGAGAGCCAGAAATCTTGCTTGTTTGTAGGTGACCAAATACTTATTTTCCATCATAATTTGCAAATAAATTCTTTCCAAATCAGCCAATGTGATTGTCTGGATTTATTTTCTCATTTTGTCTCTCATAGTTGAGGTCTACCTATGATGCCAATTACAGGCCTCTCATCTTTTTAAGTGTGAGAACTTGCACAATTGGTGGCTGACTAAATACTATTTTGCCCCACTGTACATGATTTTGTATCTCTGGGTAGGAAAGCAGCGTGTTTACATAATAAAGCACACACAGACAACACAGTAAAACAGCACACAGTTAACCCTTTGATCTCCCCAGATGTTAACCCCTTCCTGCCCAGTGTCATTAGTACAGTGTCAGTGCTTTTTTATAGCACTGATCACTGTATTAGTGTCACTGGGGATGTCAGTGGCAGTTAGTCAGTTCCCCCCAGTGTCAGAATGCCTGCTGCAGTCACGCTATAAGTCACTGATCGCAGCCATTGGCAGCTACAGCTGTCGATCACCGGGTCCCGGCCAGAGATTCCCCGCCGGCACCTGGCAATCGCCAAGGAACACTAACAGGGGAGAGGTCTGTATATAAACAATACAGTTCTCTCCCCTCTCAGCACCAGCATGCTGCTTTGTATTGCTCTGTATAGCAGAGCAATACAAAGCAGTGTGCTTACATAGTAAAGCACACACAGACAACACAGTAAAACAGCACACAGTTAACCCTTTGATCGCACCAGATGTTAACCCCTTCCTGCCCAGTGTCATTAGTACAGTGTCAGTGCTTTTTGATAGCACTGATCGCTGTATTAGTGTCACTGGGGATGTCAATGGCAGTTAGTCAGTTCCCCCCAGTGTCAGAATGCTTGCCGCAGTCCCGCTATAAGTCGCTGGTCGCCGCCATTACTAGTATACAAAAAAAAAATT